AAGGAACTTCAGCAATTCCTTGGCTTTGCGAACTACTATAATCGGTTCGTGCCACAGTATGCGAAGATTGCAACACCTCTCACCAATCTACTGAAGAAGAATACACCGTTCAAGTGGGAGGATGTGCACCAGCAAGCCATGGAGCAGTTGAAGACCGCACTCACGTCCGCACCCGTCCTGATCCTGCCAGATCCAGAAAAAGACTACGTCATCGAAGCTGACGCTAGCGACCAAGCAGTTGGAGCAGTCTTGATGCAAGACCAAGGGAAAGGACTACAACCAATCGCTTACCTCAGCAAAAAATTGCACGGGGCAGAACTCAACTACCCGATTCACGACAAAGAGGCCTTAGCGATCATCACGGCATTCAAGACATGGCGATGCTACCTCGAAGGGAGAAAGACCACGGTCTACACTGACCATTGCAGCCTAAAATACCTGAAAACGCAGCCGACCCTCTCCAGACGACAAGTCAAGTGGATTGACTTCCTCGAGACGCACTTCGACTACGACATCGTGTACAAGCCGGGACACAAGAATAAGGCAGACGCACTGAGCTGGCCTGGACACGTTGCCGCCATACAGATTGAGGGGATGAATCCGCTACTCAAGGGACTCTTCACGCACGGGTATACCATCGACCCCGAGATTCCCTTAGCAGAGAAAAAGAAATTGTTGCAGTGGGACCACGACGTCGCACTACGCAAAGGATCAACAAAGATATGGGTACCCAACTACCCGCCTCTTCGGCAGTTGCTTCTCGAAGAATTCCATGACGTGCTCTACGCTGGACACTTTGGGAGTAACAAGACTCTTGCCGGGATTGCGAAAGTCTACTACTGGCCTCACATGGCAAACGACGTGCAAAAGTTTGTCACTTCGTGCGACACGTGCCAGCGGATGAACATCAGTAAGCAGAAGAAAGCAGGACTTCTTCAGCCTTTACCCGTCCCGGAACAGCCTTGGCAAGTGGTCAGCTTGGATTTCATCACCGGTTTACCACCTACCAACGCGGGGCATTGACGCCATCCTGGTCGTCATCGACAAATTCTCAAAGATGGGACACTTCATTCCGACACATACAACCGCACGCACGGAGGAAACGGTACAGTTATTCCTCAAACACATCATCTCACAGCACGGGATCCCAACAACCCTCATATCCGACAGGGACCCCAAGTTTACTAGCAAGTTCTGGAAAGAGCTCATGTCGCTCATGGGGACACGCCTAGCAATGTCATCTGCATATCATCCCCAGACCGATGGGCAGACAGAGCGCTTGAACCAAATTGTGGAACAACTCTTGTGCGCAGCGTGCAAGGATGACATTAACAAGTGGGACTTGCACTTGCCGGTGTTGGAGTTCGCCTACAATAATGCGAAGCATGCCGCAACAGGAGAGACCCCATTTTTCCTCTGTTACGGACGACATCCACTAACTCCACAACAGCCGACAGTACCTGCAACTGTCCAACCCGCGCACGACTTCGTTACCACAATGCAGCAGCTTTGGGATCGGACACACAAGCGTCTACAGGACATACAGTCTTCACATAAACGCTTGGCCGATCGCCATCGACGTGATCATACCATTGCGGTTGGTGACCATGTGCTTCTCGACACATGCAACCTCAACCTCGGTCACCTTCCATCCAAGTTACGACCTCGCTTCTGCTGACCTTTCCTCGTAGAAGAGCAGGTCACTCCAGTCACATTCCGCTTGCGCCTACCAGCTTCTTGGAAGATTCATAATGCCTTCCACGTGCAGCTTCTTAAACCCTATCAAGATCCAAATAAGCTGTACACGGGACGCCAACCTCCGCCGCCGCCTCCAGTCCTCGTGAATGATGAACTTGAGTACGAGGTTGAATCTGTGCTTGCACATCGTCGTCGTCGGCATGGCGCCCTGGAGTTTCTCGTACGCTGGAAAGGCTATGATCCTTCTGAGGACAGCTGGGTCTCTGAAGAAGACATGAGTAACGCCCCACGTTCTCTCCGCGACTATCTTGTCAAGCAGGGTGTTACATCTACCACCCAGCTTTGAGGGGGGGAAGTGTGAGAGTACGCCGACGTTCGACATATTTCTCATTTCCATATTTTTACTCCATCTTATTCTCCTTATTTCCCTCTTTCATTTGCACTTTATTTCACCTCAATCGGACTACTATTCTATTTTCTAGAGCTTTCCGATTATTTCACTTATTTGGTATTTTCGGCACCGACATTTACATTATACGGCACCGACAGCACCGACAGTGGTGTACAAGGCGTAATCTCGCCATAATCCGAAGTGCCAATGGGCTTGCGTGCTTATGCGCACTTGTGATTATCTATTCTAGAAGAGCGCGTTCCCGAAGGTTCGGATTATCTGTTGTTTCTATGTATTTCTTAGTATAAATATGCCTTGTACTCACCTTTAGTGCAACATTCTCGAGTGGAAATTCGATCCTGTAACAACCCCAATCCAAAAGTCAAAGTTGCCTTCCTAACCACCCAACCAAAGATCCCTTTATAGTCATGTCCCAATAATCGCCCAACGTAGATAATAACTCAAATTGAGATAGAATTCCGAAAACTTGGAAATCTTGTAACTTGGGCGATCTTGGTCGGAATAAGGCGATCTTGGTATCATTGGAAAGCTCTGGATTTCTCCTGCATGATCAAGCATGTAGACTTGGAGAAACAAACTTAGATGATAAAATCCAACAGCCATGCATAATGACATAGGCTCATGCAAATCATGCATGCACAAATGGCACGAGCACTTGGCAGGACATTAGGATGACATGCACTCAAACTGGCGTGCATTCAGCATGAGCGTCGCTAGGGACACACACGGTCGACTCATATTTGTCGTATTCTAATGCGCAATTGCCCCATTTCTGTTCCCTTTAATATCACGAACATTCGATTGCACAAGATACATTTTTTCCTAGTTGGAGAGGAGAGAATAGCTATGCATTTCCCCCACAACCCCTGATCTCGGCCGTCCTCGCCCACGCTCGCCATTCTTTCGCCGTTCGTGGTTCCAGAATGGCCTAGCGCCTCTCGGTGGCCCTAATGATGCCCAAGTGGCACCACTTGGACGCACGATATATGCACGAGCATGTATCTCGCTCATGGCGCCACATGTCTGGGTGTTGGTAGCGATTCCTATGCCTTATGTGGTGCCGGTCTTCCACACTCGCCTATTCGTTTGATGTATGACTAGTACATAGTTGTGTAAACATGCAGGTTCCTGTTTCAGACGATTGCTCAAGGATCTCTTGACACTCAGATTTGATTTACGAGCCCAATCAACTATTTGCACATACGAACCATACTGGCGACTGTATCGCACATTCTGTAACGAGCATGTACTATTTTCTCTCCCTGCCACTAACATAACGACCACACACAATTAATACACTCAAGACACAGAGGTTCTACCATTTCGGCCATGCTTCCGCCTGCTTCGTTATCTCATGCGTCCACTGGTTGGTCGACTCTCGGTCTCTTGTTCCATTATCACTTTCCTTTTAAGTTAAGGAGTATGCGCAATGTCACTACGGCCGACCATCTATGGCAAAGGAACCGATACCTCCTGCTAAGATATATAACATACGCGACATCCACCTCTCGTCCACTAACCACGCTACGTTCTAATGCATTCTCACATTTGTACGAATTTCGGGGAGAGGAAAGGAGTGTACGGTGTTAGAATATACTTATATATTCTTTATGAATGACTGTAGTGTAGACTGTAGTGTATCTCACTTGCTGTAGGTGGTGTACCATGTGGCTTTCTCCTTGCTATATCTTGTACCTTGCTCAATAGTGAAACACATCTTTCTCGACTTTTCTCTTGCTTCAATTCTCTTGACACTCAAGCTATGCCTCCTAACCCTAAACCTAGTTTCCTAGGTGCCTAGTATTTTGACATAAGGGGGTGTACATATTGTACATACTGTACATTGTGAGTCGAGCGACTTGCGAGGATAGAATCTGATGGGTCACGCGACGTTTTAAAGGTGGGGAAGAGCTGAGGGTGGTCTGGCGCCTGATGGAGCGAAGGTTGGGGGCAACAAGGGATTTGAGTGGGGCAGCACTTACGAAAGCATGGAGGTGGTGGAGAAGAACATCACACCATCGGCAGCGGTAGTGGGAAGAGGGGTTGTAATACAGCACCAGGATGGTTGTCAGCGTGCATGCATGTTTGTGTTTCCCTATGTCTGCAAGGTCATCCCGAGGAGCCTGCTGGATCTCCATAGTACCAGCGGGAGGCAGAGTAGCAAGAGGTCGGGAGGAATGGCTAGAAGCACCGTGGATGCAAGCCTGCTCGATGGCAAGATTAGCTACTGTAGAGGATTATGGGACCAGCATTAGGAGAAGGGATTGCTGGCAGAATAGGTGGATTCTGGGGGTGTAATCCTCATTGCTTGTATGTTTCTTTTCAACACGATAGTCATGCGGAGAAACCATTGCAAGCAGTGACACCGAGGAGGTATGGCAAGGTATGGCTAGATCTGAGGCATAGGGTAGGTGGTTATGTGAAGGAGCTTAGATCTCATCAGAGGGAGGTCAACATGGATACTAGTGGGGAAATGAGGATAGAGAGAAGACGGCAAGGGGAACAGACCAAGGGAAGGGAGGAGAAGCACTTAGCTAGAGACAGTGAGAGGGATTGGAGAAGGGTGCGAGGAGCCACAATCAGCAGGGGAGAGAGGGGAGGGAGAGGGATAAAAATGGTAAGTTCAGGGGAGGACAGAGTGAGGAAGGACAGCAGCGTGGAACGAGAGTTGAACTAGAGACAGGAGGAGGGGGGTGAATTTCCGACAGTGGCCTCATTCCCGTTCTTATGTTCGCATCATACCGTAAACCCCAGGATATAAGACCCAGGGGTCTTAACAGAATCGTGGCAAAAACAAAATGGGGGGATCTAAACAAGTGGCATATTTATCACAAGACCCGGGTCTTCACAAAATGATTGTTTTGAGACACATGTTTTTGAACCCAGAGAAATGAATGGGAAGTGCTCCGTTTTCAACACCCCCACAAAAGACGTGAAATTGTCTCGACGAAGGTCAAACGCACGTCATCACCAAATATATCTTGGAGTTTTGATTTTCGAAACACTTGACCCTCGCTCGGTTCACTGCCGGCGTGTCTAGTCAGAATGAGCTATCAGGCGCGGAATGTGACTCATTCTTACTGTTTGTGTTGGCAGGGAATCATTCCCACCCTGCCAACTCGCTCGAGATTCTCATTCACATCCCTGCATTGTTTCGACTCGATTCAAATCGCATGAACGAGATGTACAGTATGGTGAAAAAAACAAAAATCAGAATTCATATATGTGATTATATAAGGGTCGGCGCTCATAAAATCCAGGCCCTGTATATCTGGGGGCTGACGATAGGTCTTCAATAGGAGGGGGGATTTTATAATGTCAGATGCCATTAGGGGGGTATAAGTCGAATAGACTCTAATAGAGTATCCCCCTCCGGTATTATAGTGTCATATATTGCATATATATTTGTTAGATTTCTAGACTACAGTAAGGTTCATATTAGGGGGTACATGATTATTCTCCCACTACTCATTCATTCCACTATGCATCACTCTTAAGATGGTATCAGAGCCAGGTTCGTTATAAATTATAGTAGCCATGTTCGCCCTCCCCTACCTCCTAAGCGCGCCCTCCCCTCCCAACCGCACGTGCAAGGACTTTGCGCCCCCCTGCCAGAGCCACTCGCGCCCTGCTAGAGCAGCACGCGCCCCTTGCCAGAGCCGCGTGCCCTCTGCTAGAGCCCCGCGCCCCCTGCCAGAGCCGCGTGCCCTCTGCTAGAGCCCCGCGCCCCCTGTCAGAGCCGCACGCTCCCTGCCAGAGCCTCGCACCCCCTGCCAGAGCCACTCGTGCCCCCCTGCCAGAGCCGCGCGCCCCCTGCCAGAGCTGTGCACCCCCTGCCAGAGCCACGCGCGGCCCCCCACCCCCCCCCCCCCCCCCCCCCCCCTCCCCTCCCCCCCCCTGCCAGAGCCGCGCGCCCCCTTCCAGAGCTGCGCGCCCCCCCTGCCGGAGCCCCTCTGCCATAGCAGTGTGCACGCCCCTACAGAGCACTGCGCACGCCCCTCCAGAGCAGCGTGCCCCTCCACAGCAGCAGACCGCAGCTGCGCCGGCCCGCCACAGCCGCCTACATCCTTTCACAGTCACCCAAAGTCCCTCTCAGCCGCCACTTTGACAGCACGCACCCGCAATTTACCCTCCTACGCAGCGCCCTTGCAACCGCCAGCCGTGCTCATCGTCTCCTCCACGCCTACTGCCATAGGCATCTTTAGCGGTGGCTGGCAGCCGCAGTTACTTCTACTGGCGCGGGTTAGGGTTAGTACCCTGCAGTTACAGGCGTTCCTAGCCCCATTCGCTCCTCCCTCCAACCACTCCTAGCTCCAGTCGTACCTCGCTCCAGCCGTTCTTATTCCAGCCATTCTTGCTCCAGCCATTCTAGCTCCAGCCGTTTCAGCTCCAGCATTTTCAGCTCGAGCCGTTCTAGCTCCAGCCGTTCTCGCTCCAGCCGTTCTCGCTCCAGCCGTTCTAGCTACATCCGTTTCAGCTCCAACAGTTCTCGCTCCAGCTGTTCTAGCTCCAGCCTTTTCAGCTCCAGCCGTTCGAGCTCCAGCCGTTCTAACTCCAGCCTTTTCAGCTCCAGCCGTTCTAGCTCCAGCCGTTCTTGCTCCAACCGTTCTAGCTCCAGCCATTTCAGCTCCAGCCGTTCTCGCTCCAGCCGTTTCAGCTCCAGCCGTTCTAGCTCCAACCGTTCTAGCTCCAGCCGTTCTAGCTCCAGCTGTCGACTATCCTTTGTCACTCCTCGCTCCAGCCGCTTCTCGTGCCAGCCGTTCCTAGCCTGGTGGTCCTAGCTGTTTCCACCTCTAGCAGTTCCTAGATCCAGTCACTCTTGCTCCAGCAGTTCCTCGCGCCTGTTGCCCAGCTCGCCTTACCATGGCATCCACTCGGGTCTTACAGCGGCAGGGACAGCAGCAGTTTCAGCAGTGGGGACCCCAACAGCGTGCTCTCCGCAGCAGTGGCACCCTCCGCAGCAGTGGGGACCTAGTCGTTCAGGGAGCGTCTGCCCAGACGGCTGGAGGGGTAATCGTGGTGGCCGCAACGTTGGACCCTGCCAGAATCAGATCCTGACTGATCCTCATGCTGGCACTACTAGCTGGCGTACTGACCACTCTGCACTGCGCTGCTACAGCCGCCTTGAAGACCTTTACCGTGAGCGTTTTGGGCCTGACTCGGTTCCCCCAATCTGGCCTGGTCTGTCTCGTACTAGTTACCGTATGTTTGATATGTCTATGGATGTTGTTTATTTTATCACGTATGGATATTTTGACTAGCGTGTACCCAGCTTAGGTCATTTGCCTGTTGCTAGTGTTGGGTGCTTCTGCTTCTAGTGTAGGTGCTTGCATCGTTACTAGTGCAGCTGTGACGACTGCTGACGTGTCGCTCCCCTTCACGATGGACTCTGGTGCGTCCTAGTGCTTCTTCCGCGACCACACCGCTGTCACACCACTTGCTGCTCGAGTCCCAGTTGCCCTGGCTCATCCTACTTCAGGACCAGCTATCGCTCGCAGTTCTACCCCCCTCCCGTGCCCGGCTGTCCTCTCCGGTGTCCTCACTGGTCTCTACATCCCTTGTTCTCTTGGAACTTGGTGGGTGTTGGACACCTCCAAGACCCTGAAATCATAATCACTTTTCCTGCACACAGGAGGATTGCGATCTGTACGGACGCTTCCACTGGTGCAGTTCTTGCCACGTTCACCAGAGAGCCCCACTCAGGTCTCTTCGTCCTGCACACTCAGCCCCCCCAGGTCGCTGCGTCCGGTCAGGTTACTGCGCCCAGTCAGGTAGTTGCCTCAGGTCAGGTTGCTGCGTCTTGCTCCTGTCAGTCCCTCTCCCACCCGATAGTCTTATGGCACCACCGTCTAGGTCACCCGTCCCTCCCACGCCTCCATAGCATGGCCAGCCAGCGTCTTGTCTCAGGTCTCCCACGGGTCTTTGAGTCACTCCCTTGCTCGCCTGCGCCACCGTGCACTCCTTGTGTCGAGGGTTGGCTGCACGCCACTCCTCAATCCTCCTCCCTTCGTCTGGCCACCGCTCCCTTCCAGACCCTCCACTTGGACGTCTGGGGCCCAGCCTCTTGTCTTGGACCCGAGCGGGAGCGCTACTTCCTCGTGGTCATTGACGACTACTCCAGGTACACCACAGTGTTTCCTCTCGCGAAGAAGTCCGAGGTGACTTCTACGCTTATCCGGTGGCTCCTGACCACTGAGTGCACTCGTGGTAGTCATGTCAGTTGTCTCCACTCCGACCATGGGGGTGAGTTCCGCTCAGACGTACTTGCCAGGTTCTGTGGCGAGCAGGGTATCACACACTCCTGGACGCTTTCGGAGTCCCCACAGCATAATGGGGTTGCTGAGCGCCGCATTGGCTTGGTTCTGGAGATCGCTCGCACCTCCATGATCCATGCACGTGCGCCCCATTTTCTGTAGCCCTATGCGGTTCGCTACGCCGCCCACCAGCTGAACCTCTGGCCTTCTGTCTCACGACGAGGGGATTCACCGACTAGTCTTTGGACCGGGTCCCCTGGTGGTGCGTCAGAGTTTCACGTCTGGGGATGCCTTGCGCTTGTCCGCAACACCTCTGCGGATAAGCTCGTGGCTCGCGCCATCCCCTGTGTCTTCCTTGGTTTCCCAGTGGACGCTTCTGACTTTGCGTTTTACCACCCGCCCCTCCACCGTTTCCTCGACTCCCGTGACGTTCGGTTTGACGAGCCAGTGTCCTACTACGCTCGCTACCCATGTCGAGGTCTCCCAGTTCCCCCTCCCCCTCTCCTCCTTCTCCCGCTCCTCCAGTACTCCCGCCTCTCCTAGTCCTGCCCCGTCATGTGTGTCTCATGCTACCCCTCTACCCTCGGTTGCACGTCAGGTAGCGTCTCCCTCCTGGTAGTCCTCCTCACAGTCCCCTCAGCAGCCTACGGCACTTCCGCGACAGGTTACTGGGGGCTCAGGGGGTGTTGGATCTAGAGCCGCTGCCACTGGAGGTACTCGGTTTGGGGGTGCTCGTTTGAGGGGTGTTGAAGCTGGAGGTACTGGCACTGGAGGTGCTAGTTCTTGGGGAGCTAGAGCTGGAGGTGTTGGCACTAGTGGTGCTAGTTCTGGGGGTGCTGGAGCTGGAAGTACTGGCCCTGGTGGAGCTAAGACTTGGGGTGCTGGAGCTGGAGGTGCTGGAGCTGGAGTTTTTGGGACTGGAGGTGCTAATTCTGAGGCGCCTTGAGCTGGAGGCACTACTACTGTGGCGCCCACCACTACGACACACGTCTTCAGGCTCTTCGCCGGCTTGAGCGCGAGGATCAGGAGTGGGTGGACTAGGAGAGGCAGGAGTTGCGGCAACTAGACCAGTAGGAGCAGCACCAGGCGCAGCAATAGACGCAGCAGCCCCCCCTTTTGCAGCAGTTGTTCCCACCAGTGAGTGGCCTTCGGGCCCTTGGTCTTCCCTCCTCTCCTCCTGTCCGCATACGGACCTACGTTTCCTCCTCCGAACTCGGCTCTGGCTGTTTTCTCTCCTCCTCAGTCACAGTTGCCTCCTCCTGTTCTCCCACACGGCTGGACCACTCGTTGTCCTCTGCGTGCTCGTCCCTCGTCTCCTCTTGACGGCCTCTGCAATGTCTTGCTTCGTTCTAGTCCTAGTCGTGCTCCGCCTGTGCCTGTTCTCCCACCACCTCCTGCGTCGTCTCTTACTGTCTTCTCTTACCCTATCACCGACTACTACCGTGCTGCTCGTCCTATTGTCTCGCGTGTTCTCGCCTCTCTTGTCACCGACCCTCGTGCCTCTCCGTCGTCTGTCTCGGCTCTTACTGCCGTTGTCGCTGACTTTGTTGCCATCCGCTGCCTTGACTTCGCCACGCGTGTAGTGGCTGCTCTGTCTGCCCGTCCTCTGTCCGCCGGGGGTGAGTTTTCCCTTGGCTGTGACTTCCTAGAGGACAGGCAGCTTGAGCTGAAGTTCTTGACAGCCGCTTCTCTCTCTCTATGTGCCATGCTGCTTTCCCCTGAGGGAGACCCCGACGCCCTTGACAATTCGACTCCTCACACGTACCGTGAGGCAGTGTCAGGGCAGTGGGCCTCTCAGTGGAAAGCGGCCATGGACCCAGAGATGGCGTCTTGGAGATCCACAAGCACCTACCTAAACCCTAAACCCTTTACCCTGTCCCCTTATCCCGTCCCGCTAACCTGTCCCCCGTACCCTGTCCCCCGTACCCTGTCCCCCTACCCTGTTCCCATACCCTGTCCTGTACCCTGTCCTCCGTACCCTACCCCCCTACCCTGTAGCCGTAGTAGTGTTTGTAATTGCCGTAGATGAACGCCGCCCTCCTTCGTCGAAGCTGCCCTCCTTCCTCCTCCCCTGCCCCCCCGCCATCCCTGCCCTCCGCCCTCTCGCCCTCCGCTTCCCCCCGCCCAGCGCCACCTATCGACGCCTCTCCCGCGTCCCCCTCCCTTTCAGGCCGCGCCGCCTCATCACGCTCCTCCGCGTGATGCATTTCGTCAGTCGCGCCGACGCTTGGCATCCCGCGTCCAAATCTCTCCTCCCCTTCCGCCGCACGTTGCGCCATTTGGAAGAATGCGCCGCCTCGAGGTGCACTGTGCAAGGAAAAAGCCAGCTCACGATTTATTTTATCAACAGTCAAGTTTGGAAGTGGGTCGGTGAAACAGGGCTATGGCGCGCTGGCGCACGGCGCGGCTGGCCGGGCCCGTCGTGGCGACTAAGAAGAATGAGCCGTAGCTAGAAGAAAATAGTAGTAGAACGTTGTAGGAGAGAAGGTGGTATCCGAGATGGCAAGAAGATAGATCCGATTAAGACTATAGAATGAGAAGATTCTGAGATTAGAATGAAAGGAGATGAAGATACAACAAGAACTAGGAAGGGATAAGGAAGAATAAGAGCGGCTCGTAAGGAAGTCTGCGTCGCTACGCTTTCAGCATGGCATCTTAACATAGCGCCTTGACGCCATGCCTGGATTGTAGTAACTTCTAATCACTGACGAGTGCAAGAAAGTATGTTGCGAGGTTGGCGCCTGGGCTATTCGGAGCTAGCTAGGCAGGACGAGATCTAATTGTTTGGGTATTCCCATGCACACTGGCATGGGAAATCCCAACCATGTGGGGCATATGTTCGAGAACAGATGTG